AGAGGAAATATTTTAAAAACATGGGTATTAAACCCATCATACAAACAAATGGACTCACTTGGGAAATTCAATGTTTTAAATGTTTAAAAACAGAGAGAGTTTAACAGTGAAGAATAGATAACAATAGAAACATCAAAGATCAGCATTATGACATTCTAGATTTATGAGTAGAAATTCCAATATCTTCTGTAGGTAAGGATAGAAATGACCCAAATGGTGCCACTTGACACTTGATACTATCCTTGACTTTCATGGTATGCTAGTCAGCCTCCAGGGTGGCCCCCAGTAATATCATTTCCTGGTATTCACTGTCTTGGGGAATATTCTCCCAGACTAAGTTATGGCTGGCCTGTGTCTCCAATAAAATATGGTGGAAGTGACAGTGTGTGACTCTTGAGGCTGGGTGATAAAAGACATGGCAACTTGCACCTCCATCTCTCTCTTGGATTACTTGCTCTCAGGGAAGCCAGCTGCTATGTCTTGAGGTCACTCGTGCAGCACTTTGGAGAGGACCAGAAAGTGAGGAACTAAGGCCTCCAGCCAAGCGCCAGGATCGACTTGCCAGCCATGAGAGTGTGCCATCTTGGAAGCAGGTCTTTTAGTCTCAGTCAGTCCTTTGGATGACTGTAGCCCTGGATGACATTTCTCTTTTTAGATGGGTTTATTGAGGTTACAGTTTATTTATCATAAGACTCACTAATTCGATGACTTCTAGTAAATTTACAGAGTTGCACAGCCATGACCACAATTTAATTTTAGAATATTTCCACTGTGCCTGTGCCCAGAGAAACCCTATGCCCATTAGCAATTACTTCCCATTCCACCATCAGCTCCCAACAACCACTAATCTGTTTTGTGTGTCAATAGATTTGCTTTTCAGAAAACTTAATCCAAGTAGAATAATATAATATGTGGTCTTTTGTTTTTATTCAGTATCTAGCTGACATTTTGACTGCAACCTCAAGAGAGACTTTGAACTAGAATCTCCCAGCTAAGCTACTACTGAATTCTCAATGCACAAAAACTGTGAGAAATAAATGTTTATTGTTGATTGTAACCGCTTAGTTGTGGGGTAATTTGTTACACAGTAATACATAACGAGTGCACATGGATATGTGATTACTGCTTGGAAAGAAACTAACTCCCTCTGGCATACGATGTCCCAGTAAACTCAACCCCAGCAGTACAACATGTGGTACTGTTAAAACTTGTGGACACGAAAAATGTACACCTTACGGTTGTATTGGCATGTTTTGTTAGTGACACAAAATTGATATTTTTTTCTAATAAAAAATCCATTTCCAGATCAAAAGAAAGAAACTTCACTTTACTTTTAGGTCCATGAGAAAGGTTTGAGGAACAAGGAAGAAATGAATGTGTGGATAGTTAACATGTGGCTTAGCATTCTGATTGGGTGGGCTACCAAAGAAACTTGCCATATTAGTCTGGAATGACTTTTGGTTGATCAAATTAGACAATAAAAGGCTCATCACATCTACAATTCAAGGAGATGTAATTAGCCAGTTGCAACCTTGAGATGTTGAGTGATCAAGAAGTCATTTAAAGGATTCATGAGGGAAGAAGGAACAGGTGTATGCGGGTTTCAGGTTTTTTGAGTTGAAACTAAAAGACGGAAGAGGCTTAAATTTCATAGCTGTGAAGAACAGGTCAAAAGTTCATGGAATGCTGTGAAACGAGAGTCAGTTGTGAACTAGTTTAAATAATGTGAAATTAATCTTCTGAACAATCTGATCTTAATGTTTTGTTTGATGATGATTTTGACTCAGTTTCTAATGCAGCGAAGGTTGAACAGTAAGAGATTCATCTAGAACTCAGTAGTAGCAATGTTTTTCAAGATTTGAAAATATTTAAGTTTAGATGGTGAAGATTAAAATCTTTATGACCCTTTGAAAGTGTTCATTTTTAATTATGCAGCAATTATTCATTAAAACATTAGTTACTATAACACATTCAGTTTTTTTCAAGCTATTCAATGTGTATTAATACTTCATAAAATATTTGCCTTTAAGTGTAAGCATGATGTTGGAATTTCTTCAAACTTTTTATTTTTGCTGTGTTTTGTTCCGGTTTTTACTGAAATGTTAGTCTACATGTATTAAATCTTTTTGTAAAGGTTATTTAACTTTATTCTATTTAACTATTTGATTTATACCATTTTTTACTGATATATGTTGTATATATAGAAATTCTCTCAAATTTATTTGACACTGTGGTTTGCTTTTTAGTTGCTAGTACCGATACTTGCCTTCATGGTACTTCACACACAGCATGGGTTCATTTACCCATCATCTGCGTGTATGTACTGTTGTGTGCCACATTTTCACTACATATTTCTTTTAGCTGTGTGGCTTAGTACCTTTATTCACAGTTAATAGGATATAATTAAATACAAAGAACCTCTGATTTCCTACAGCCCAATATATTGTACATAGTATACTATATACTATGTAATATAGTATATTACACATGTAGTATACTATATATTACTATAATAGAATATATACTATGTAATATAGAATATTACATATGTAATACTATATTACATATACTATGTAATACTTCCCTCCACAAAACTGATAGGGGACTCTAGAGTTGGAAAATTTTAGTTTAAGTAATAGCTAACAAGTTTAGTAATCAATGTATGTAAAAGTTATTGTTCCAGGAAATGAAGGTATGACCCACCCTGACTCCAGGAGACCATAAGCAGCTCCACCTTTGTGCCTCAGGAGGACTGCAAACAATTCAAGATGGTATCTGAGCCATGGTACTCCAGGGTGAGATGACCACAGCCAAGGGCACAGCTAAAGACCACCACCCAGGTGGATAATACTGCAGTTTTTTAATCCAGTTAACTTTTTCCTGAATTCCAAACCCCTTACTTACTCTTTGTTCTCCTTATAAAAAGGGCCATTTTAAAGTGGAATTTAAGACAGTCTGTTAGGGTATTAACCTGCTGTTTTCTCAGATCACTGGCCATCTGAATAAAATGCCTATAAAGATTCAATTCCTGTCTCCCCTTATTGGGTTCAGTATGTGACAGGCAGCACGAATGCTGGGTTTTTTTTCCCCAGTCTCAAAACCCCTGTAAACTCATTTAAACATTTTTACAGATATAAATAAATACATGTATAATGAAAGGTACTTAAAAATTTTAAAAGAACTTATTGATTTTAGAGACCGAGAGGGAGAGAGAGAAATATGTGTTATTGCACATATTTATGAATTCACTGGTTGATTTTTGTATGTGCTCTGATGTGAGGCATTGAATCCACAACCTTGTCATATCGGGATGATGCTCTGACCAACTGAGCTACCCAGCCAGGCCCTGAAAAGTTATTTTACCCTCTAAATGTTTCGTGCAAATTTGAGTGCTCTCGTGCTCATTCAATCTTGTATGTCAGCAAATAAAATACTATGACTGGGGCGTTGGGTTGACAGGAAAATAAGATACCGATCCTGACTTGAAATATCTAAAACCCTAGTGAAAGAAACAGGCACAAACCAGTACTTACATTGCTACATGATACATTGTTTCAATAGGAAGAAGTGTAAAGGTGTTTAGGGGTAGACAGAAAAAAAAAAAACTTTACTAATAGGTAACTTTTAAACTAAATTGTGGTTTGTCAGGTCCAGAAGCAGAGGAAGGGCATTCCAGACAGAGCAAAGAGCAGGAACCAGGACAAGGAAGCAAAGAGAACATAGCATGCTCTGGAAGCAACAAATAGCTCACAGGGGCTGGAGCATAGAGGCCATGAGGGAACAGCTGCAGATGACAAGATAAGGCCGAAACCAGAATGAACAGGTTTGTCAGCCAAGCTAAAGAGTTCAAATTTTAACCTGTAGGGAGTGGGGGGATTTTAAGCAGAGGAATTTTCTCTTTAAAAGGTTTCTCTGGCTGCAGTGTGGTGGATGAATTGGAAAGCAAGACATGGACGGCAAACTAGTTAGGAGGCTCTCTGGTAATTAAATGAGAAAGGATGAGGTCTGAAATGAAGAGAAATGGCAGTGGGGATCGTGAGGGGCATGGATTAGGGATTTCGAAAAGGGGTCCTTAGATATGGGCAAGAAAGAGAAAGGAGCCAAAAGTGGCTCCGTGGTCTATAGGCTGGGTGACTGGGGGAAGAGTAATGCCACTAACTGAAAAGGAAAATGCCCCCTGCCATCGGGGTGATCTTTGACTCCTTCCCTTCTCCTTTCCACTGAACAGATGACCGGTTCCTGCCAGGCCTTTGCCTCCAATCTTCCCCGCCCTCCTAAATTGCTGCAAAGTCATCTTCCTAAAGCAGTTCTGATTGTGTAAACTCACAGAATGAAATCTAAGCTTCTTAGTGGGGCATTCAACACTCCACCTTCAGGCAGGCCACAAGCTAACTCCTGGATACCTTGATCTCCTTATCATTTCCTCTCTCCGCCTCAAACATCAATCTAATCTTTTAAGACATCCTGTTAAAAATATTCTTTCTTTTCGGTGGTGTGAAGTCTGTTGTGTTTCAATCATAACACTTGGCGTTCTGCGTGGTTCTGTAGGGAGCTGTGCCTTGGTATCTTTTCTACTCCTTTGCCCCATTGACTTACAATATAGCACAAAAAAATTGTGCTGAATTGACCTGCAGCCGGGATTTGATCCCCGTTTGGCAGACAGTCAAGAAAAATGAGGCGATTCTTAGAATCCATGACAACACACATGAAAAAAATGAGTCTAGAGGAATCACACGTCTCTAGGAGGCCCTTTCTCTGTCTAGAACAACTGTGACAAAGGTGGGAAGCAAAATAATTTGCTGTCAGGGGGCATCTCCAAGTTTCAAGATGCCTATATTTTTATATAAAATATCTTACGCACTGTACTTTGAAAAAGCCCTTAGGGATCTAAGGTTTCCGGAGGTGGAATTCCCTGGTGGTGGATATCCTTCTGAGGTCAACTGCACTGACCATCACACAGTGTACTTCGGGAAGATTAAACACAGCAAAAACATTCTCACCGGTGTTTCCGCAGAGTTAGGGAGCTGCGTGGCCTCGAGCGGCCTCCGTCCCGCCCACGTCCAGCCCCCGCCCCCAGCGGCCGCAGCACAGTAGCTCTGAGGGAACTCCCGCAAGTCTGCGCGCGCAATCCCCAGCCCAAGATCCGCACGGAGCGCGCAATTGCCATGGAAACCACTGTGCGCACGCGCAAATGCGGGGCTGGGAATTAGGGCTGAGCTAAAAGCCCAGCGGCGGGAGGCGGGGTTTACCCTCCTCGTTGACCGTAGCTCCCGTCTCCCTCGGGCGGAGCGTCCCCTTCCAGCACGCGCCGGGCTCACGCCTTCCCTCCGGCTCTCCCCCGCCTCGCACGCACCCTTGCCCTCCGCCCGCATTCGTGCGCCGGTGCAGCAGGCAGTGGGAGCATCCGGGCATTTCCGCAGCCGTGCGGAGATCCGGGCGGCGTCGGCGGTTGAGAAGCTCTCACGGCAGGGACAGGGCGGGAGGAGGGGGGAAGGCGACAGGGGAGTGAGGCGATAAGCCAGGGCCGCCGCGCGGTGGGTCCCGAGGGAGGCGGAGGGGGAAGAGCTCTCGCGGCCGGAGGAGGGCCGGACGCGGGGCTCGTCGAGCCTCTCGTGCATTCTCCTGGCCAGCCCGGGCTCCGGACATGCATCTGCATCAGGTCCTCACCGGCGCTGTCAACCCTGGAGACAACTGCTACTCCGTGGGCAGCGTCGGGGATGTCCCTTTCACGGTGAGCGGCGTCCGGGAGCCCGAGGGGGAGAGACCGGGGTCTGGGCCCCGGGGCCGACACCCCCTGTCCGGGGCCCACACTTCTCCAGCGGTAGAGGGGCTGGGCTGCGAGGTGTTGGTGGGCCCCACCCTCTCTTTCTCTCTGCAGCCCAATTAACGGGGGAGGGACATGGGATTGTGAGTACTGCGGCTGGTGTAGGGAATTACCCTTCAAGGGAAAGGATTAGAAATCCATCCCTCAGTCCGCCCACAGCAAACGGGGCTCGGGGTGACTGGACGGGAAGGTTCTTCTCTTAGAGCGGCCCCCACTCTGCGGGAGGAAGATGATTGCAACTGCTGAAACCCCAGACCGCCAGTTTCGCACCTGCTCTGGGCGTGGAGACCAAGCGACTTAGTCTTGTCTCGGAGAGTGGAGGCGACACTGTCCACTGTGCTTGGCTCCCCTTGCCCGTTTTGTTCGGGTCTTGAGGAGACGTTGGAGCCTGTGGCTTTAAACCTGACCCAACCCTCTATCTCCTGATATGCAGAATCCTAATTCCAACAAGAAAATAGAAAAAATTTATTCTCTGCCCCTGAAAAATTTAGAATGTAAATGTTCGCGTGACTTTGGCCTGGCAGGCTCTTATTTATCACGAGATCACAGTTTGGTAACCTTCCTAGGTAATGTTTTAATCCTTTTGCAAGGTAGGCTGGTTTGTTTTTGAGCTAAGGCAATGTGAAATTTCATGACATGCTTTTCTTGTTTGTGCGTGTAGAGTGTATGTAAACAATAACGTGTTAGAAGCTCTTTAAAATCTAAATGAAATAGGTATGTTTCTCAAGGAGCGTGGATGGATCCTTTCTGAGAATGGAATGTTGTTAGTATAGCTAATTCAAACCGAGCTGTAGAGGTTTCACCCATAGACTCCCTTTAGCCTAAGTTCCTTTTTTTGTGTTAAATTTACACATGGTGCTCTTTAGAACGAACTGTAGGCAATGAGATCTTGATGCAATACACAGTGTTATTGATAACTGTCGGCTTGATAAAATGGAAACAGCATAATGGTATGCCTTTTAGACAAGGGAAACACTTTGATCTGATGTCTGCTTTCCAACAGCATGTTTTTAAAGCTGCAGAAAGAAGAAAAGCTCCAGCAAAACTGCACAATCATTATGTAGCACAATCATTCTGGAACAGAATTCATCTGTCTTTGTGATACATTAAAAATAACTACAGGATTGCTTTTTGGCCATTTTAATTTTAAGTGTAATGAACTTGGCTTTGTTCCAGTTGAGAATGAACATACAATTTGCCTGACATATCGTTATACCTTTATCAGTGGTGTCATCTGTGTTTTGTGTACATGTGACTTAAAAGATCCATCTAGTTGAGCTTGGACTTCAAGTGTGTGAAGAATATTGGGGCACAGAGAAGAAATTTCCCCCAGTTGTGTAGATGGGGAAGAAGTTCCTCAGGGTTAGAAGAGCAGACTTCCTCCATGAAGAAACAAATCTGGAACCGTGGGTAATAGGTTTTCCCCACACTGTCATGGTGGTGGTAGTTGCCTGGTTTCATTTAAAGTGGAATGGTGTCTCACTGCGGGACTGGTAAAGAGCACTCCAGTAGGTTGAGATGCAGCCTGGCAAGGCCAGTGCAAGAACTGTGAGTACTGGGCAGGTGTAGTTATGCTGGAGGCCACCCATAACCAGGTTCTTGGAATGATTTTCATATCTTTTTCCACTTTCCTAATTCATACCTGTTACCAAGTCTAGCTGACCCTCTGCCTTGTCTCTCAGATTTACCCCTTTTCATGTCCTTAGTTACTACCTTTTTATAGAACCTTATATTATTTAACGAGACAGCTTGCAAACTGCTTTTCATGACACTTACCTGCTCACTTCACTTCATCCTGTACACAGCTGCCGGGATAATTTTCTTCCAGTACCATTTCATCATGTCATTCTGGGCTCAGGAATATGTAGTTGTTCTTAATTCTGTGAAATTTAGACTTGTCAGCTATTCTTCCATCCTTGACTTTATATTTGATTATATGTACTTATCATCTTGGTACTACTGCTGTAGACATACTAATTTCTTTCTCTAGCCTTCATTTTTATGTTGCAAGGAGAGAATACTGGCTTTTTAATTTCCCAAATGTGACTTAAAAATTACCTGGTTTAGGATGCCTACCTGTTGATACTGGTTATTTGACCCTTTGGCATTATAAACCCATGCTCATTTTAATATCTTAGTTTTGAGTGCACCAATCCAATTATAATTTTGCCTTGAACTAGATAGGACCTTCTGAATTCTATGAACAAAAGATTTGTTTGAAGAGAAGTAAGAACAAGCTGTTTTTAAGCACTCTAGAATTAACTAACAATTATTTAATGCCTATATTAGTATATGAATAATTTTTTTTTACAAAAAAGTAGAGCTCCTTTACATAGAATATGACATGTAAATACAGCAGTCAGATGGTAGAACTTTAGTTCTGGGTCAGAGGACAAAAAATGGGACCAGCCAGGTCTGGAATGGAAGTTTCTCAACTCCTCATCTGGTGGGTTTTTTTCTGTTGTACATTTTTTTCCTGTCAGAGTTCCTGTTCTGAAGGGAGGGGTGGTGTGTGTGTGTAAGGCCAAGACATGGCCCTTGTAGATGGAAGACTATTTTGCAGCTAACCAGTGGTTCTTAGCCAATGATAACCTGATTCCCTTTTCAAAATAGGGTAGATTGTTTATTTAGGAGTCTATAAATGGAAAGTTTTGGAAAAGAAATTGTTCTAAACAGATTTTGACGTGTTCATGACATTTGTAATTGAAAAATCGTGTTTTGTATATTGCACTGTGCCTGGTGGGTGCTGGGTGGTGTGATTGGATGGTGAGCGACTGCGTGGTTATGTCACTGTGGCCTGGTGTGTTCTGTGTTGACGTGGTAGTGCAGTTTGTACTGGACAGTCCTAGTGATGTGTATACTTTCAGTGGTAACATGTGAGTTATGATGGTTTTCACTTATGTTTTGGCAGTTAGCAGTTTTTTAAAATAATTGTGATTTTATAAATATAGTGTATATATCACCTTTTGATTATTCTGTTCTTTTCATATAGATTTACAGTAAGTTCTGCAGATACTATTATTCTTCAAAAGTCAGGTCTCAGATAGTCCAAGGAGATGATCTTCTACCACATATGAGCTTCTGTATTTTATTTTGTCATTGAGACATTTCCAACTACATTTTTACAGACAAGTGAGTTTCAAGGCTTAATGCAACAGATAGTATAAATTTCTCCTTTATGCTATTACTTTTCTGAAAAACATAGTCCTTAGTTATTAATTAAAATAATGATGGTATATGATGATTATTAATCTAATTTAAAAATTGCTACCATTTGGTCTTAAGGGGTGCAGACTGTATTTTCAAGCATATAGGGGCAGTTGATGTTACTCCAGTCTGATATGAATTAAACACATTGATCAAAGTTCACAAAAATTAGTAAGTCATTTCCACTTTCAGGGAGCTTATAGTACACTGGCAGAAATTTAAAAAAAGATGTACATAATTACAATGTAAGGCAGAGGAAAGATCGAATGTAGTTGGGAAGAGAAGAAAATATTTCACAGAAGATTGACATTTGGAAGTAGTATAAAGAACACCTTTAACAGGAAGCTAAACAACAAAACAAACAAGCAAGCAGGAAAAAAAACAAAAACAAAGACACTGAAATAGAGAACAAGGGGACAGTGACCAGAGGGGAGAAGGAAGGGAAGTTAAGGGGAAAAAGGGGGAGGGATTTGGAGGAACAAATAGGAAGGACACAGGGACAAGAACTAAGGGGGGTGGAAATGGGAGGGAGGTGGGGAGCACGGGGCGGGGGAGGCTGGGATGGGAGAAATAGGCAAAAAACTGTACTTGAAAAATAACTAAATAAAATTAATTAAAAAAAAAGAACACATGGACAACAACTAAGGGGGGTGGGAATGGGAGGGAGGTGGGGAACACTGGGGGTGGGCTGGGATGGGAGTAAAAGACAGAAAACTGTACTTGAGCAACAATTAAAAATAAAAATAAAAAAAAGCTTGACATTTGGAAAGACAATGGTATTAGGCCTTTCTGGATGGCGAAACCAACAAAAGCCAAGGAATGCTGTGATATAAAGGATAAATTGGGTATAATGGTGTGATGTGAAGGATAAATTCCTTCACAAAAGTGCTTTAGGAGTAGAGCTTCTTTATTAAATATCATATACCCTTAGAATGTTGAAAAATATAATTTATAAGCATGCCCTATAGCTTTTTAGGAAAATTTATCTGTATTCTGATATTTCTTGACTTTTATTATTGGAATTGTTTTTCTTAAAGTCATCAGGTTATAATGA